TTTTTTTTTTTTTTTTTTTTTTTTTTTTTTTGATATCCAGGTATTCCAACTTACACTAGACTAAATCCTAGACCCCCAAGACCCTTGCCCCTAGAACCTTGGAGGGGGTAAATCGCGGATTATGCCTCAACTGGATCACAGGTTCTCCCCACCGCCTGTATACTTCTGCGCACAAGAGATCCTCCACAAAATTATTGCTCCATACCAAATAAATCTGGCTGCAGGTTCCCACCAGGATTCGAACCTCCACCCTGCCGCTGGAAGCAAGACAAATGTTGATTGATCCACCAGTTGAGCTGTGCCTCGAGGGGCAACAATGATTATTCTTAATATCACTTGACATGGATTACTTGTGTGGCATTTACGGGATTCTCACACCACATACGATGGTCCCCTTAGGCAACCTAACATTTACATGGCTTGCAAACTTGTTGTAAGTAAACAATACATAGGGTAAAATACAACAATGATGAAACCTACATATGATACATCAGTACATATTTCGTAGTATGTGCCACAAATTTATCTGCTTGTATAGAAGCAATTCGGCTAGAATTTCATTGACAGCATTTGGTTGGTATGCCTTTTTCCTGCTATTGTCCAATAAAAATTTGCCTAGTATATTCTGGCAAAATTGTGGCAGAATTTTTCTTACATATGGAAGGCTTGATGTGCAACACCCTCAACTTATGGCAATCTGTCGATTATAAGTAAAGGAGTTTGCTAGGTTCGTGATTAAAGAAATTTAAACTTCAACGACTGCTAGAAAATACGCTTAGTTTACAACGATCATTGAGATTTTAACAAGCTAAATATATTGGGGTCACCCAACTTTGATCGAGGATCTTTAATTTGGTGCAATCACATCATCAAACTTCGATTTGCTTGTTGATTTAGTCACACCTTCAATTTGGTGTAATTAACTCAGTAAACATAAATTTGCTTATAGACGTAATCGCTTTGTTCATAGCTGCTATTTTAATTATTCAAATACGATGATCCCAACATCAAAATAATAAAATAACTGTCATGTAAAAGCGGGTTTTAAATTTATACCATTTTAGATGGTGATACATTGTTGTGCGACATATACATATATAGTAGTCATACGTTAATTTTAATGTTCACGTCAACATATTATATTTGTTAAATAGAATAGGGAATTCTTAGCACTACTAGATTTGTAATCAAACCGAAGTTGGTTGACTTGATTGCACCAAATCGAAGATGAGTAATTAGATCTATAAGCAAATCAAATTTTAATAATATGATTGTACTATCCTTGTATTTGGCTAAGCTTTTGAAGTCTACTTCATGCTCTTATTCGTTCTAGAAAGCTCTGCCGACTTGCCAACATATTAATAAGTAAATTTCAAAATAAGTTTTTTGCTAATCAAAATGAAAAAAAAAATACACTATTCTAAAAATTATTTTCAAAACAAGTGTGTTTCTTTAACATTAAAAAGTCATTTATCCAAAAATAATTTGTTACTCATTTTTCAGCTTCACACAAAACGTCAACTGCATATTCATTATGCAGTATCGTTTCGCATTGGCCACAAAAACGGGACTGTTCTAAAAAATTCGCCGTTCTCTCTCTGTCAGTTCACTATGCTTCTCTATTTATACACGGTACGTGCTTCGTGAACAGAGCAACACATCCAAAAAATAATTTGTTACTCATTTTTCAGCTTCACACAAAACGTCAACTGCATATTCATTATGCAGTATCGTTTCGCATTGGCCACAAAAACGGGACTGTTCTAAAAAATTCGCCGTTCTCTCTCTGTCAGTTCACTATGCTTCTCTATTTATACACGGTACGTGCTTCGTGAACAGAGCAACACATCCAACAGAAATTTGTGATACACAAACAGAGCAAAAATGACTGTCCTCAACAACGGCAATACGGAATCGTATGTCAAAATTCCCAAAATAAAGTTCACAAAATTGTTCATCAATGGAGAGTTCGTTGACTCCGTTTCAGGTTGTCGATTTCGCATTTTCCTTGTCATGTTTTTTCATTTAAATGATGTTAATATTCCATTTTTTAAGTTTGTTATTGACACTTTCGGTAAATATCGAATTTCTATGTAATGGATTTTGTATCCATAATTGGATTTTGAAACTGATTTTATACATGATGGATTTCCTGTTCCCTGGAAAGTTCAGTAGCAGCTAACTTTCGGTAGTGGGATTTCTTTAATCATTCCCCATAGAGCTTTTCGTCTGAAGACTTAAAAGTTTAAATGGAAACACAAGTTCCGCTCGTGATTTAAGTCAGTTTATTGTGTTATTTTGCCTTTTCAATATAAAACAGAGCTAGCATACTTTTTGATTTTTATTTTTTTTTTGGGAAATATTTCTGCGAATTATCAATAAGCAACAGGGATTTTGTCGGCACGTATTGCTTTTGAAATGTCCAGTTTTGTTGTATAAAATAATTGATAATGGTGAATATAATGAATTGTGTTTTGGATTTTCCTTTGGTTTTTCAATTACTAAATTAATGAAACATCACTTGTATTTTCTTTCTTTGGTTGTTTAAATACAAGTATTAGATGAATTGATTCTCGAAATATATGAATCTGTAACCTTTTTCCAAGTTCATTGTCCTGCTATTTAAATCATAAAGGGCCGATTTTAGATATTTTCTGTATGTTTTGGTTGATTATTATTTGTATATCCAAGATCCCATAGGATATCAAGAATTTGACTGAGAGCTCGAAAATTCGTTTTTGAGATTCTGAGTTGAAGGCTTTATCTCTCTTCATTTACTACAGAATACTGTAATTCGTAAGATGAAACATGGAAGGTTTGGGTGTTCATGATTGGGTTAATATGTTGTAAATAAACTGAAAGGTGGGAGTAACTATTTAAATGTGCAGGGAAGACCTTTGAGACAGTAGATCCGAGAACTGAAGAAGTGATAGCAAGAATTGCAGCAGGAGACAAGGAAGATGTTGATTTGGCTGTCAAGGCTGCTCGTGAGGCTTTTGATCACGGCCCATGGCCTCGCTTGCCTGGATGTGTAAGTATACCGATACATTAATTTCTTATGGGATACTGTCAGGACAGGCCCACACCACACCATTTATATAATGAATAATGATGAACAGTGTTGTGTGGCATTACATAATGGCATTAATTTGGCAATAGAACCATTACAAGTGATGGTGACCCACTTTTTCTTGAAAGAATGTAAATCATTATATTGTTTAGGGTAGATAGGTGAGACTTGAGAGCCATGTTGCACCCATAGAATCAATGAGGATATATATTCTGCGTATTTGTGGATAAGATTATGATCAGCGATCACTTGATTTGCTATTTGTTTGCCTTTGTTTATCTGGTTGAATAATGAAAGGATACAATTGCCATGCAAATCGTATTATCGCGCCGGGATCATAATAAAGGATCAAAGAAAACGGCAAAATGATTTTTTAGGAATGCAGAAGTTTATCGATTTTTAATGTCGCAATGTCTTGACAAGTCTCCCTCCCATCTTTCTTTGATTTGGCTGTCCTAAAGGGTAAACGAATCTGAGCTTCCTTGCTTGCTTAGATGGAAACCAACTTTTTCAACTAGGTGAACTGAACCATTTAAATCAAAGATAAAAGTTTTGAAAAGGACTATCTCTATGATCCTTTGGTCCAGCGGGAACCCATAATTTTTATGTGCAGCACATGTTTGGAAGTTTAATTTCGATAGCTTCATTATAAATCGGTGTTCTCTTGGACTGAATCAGGAAAGAAGAAGGTTAATGTTGAAATTCGCAGACTTAATTAATGAGAACGTAGAAGAATTAGCTGCCTTAGATACAGTTGATGCCGGAAAATTATATGACTTGGGCAAGATAGTAGACATTCCTGGCGCTGCAGAAACTATCCGTTACTATGCAGGTGCAGCCGATAAAATCCATGGTGCAACTTTGAAAATGTCAAGGGATCTACAAGCATATACGTTGCACGAGCCTGTAGGTGTTGTGGGTCACATCATCCCGTGGAACTTCCCGAGTCAAATGTTTGTCATGAAAGTGGGCCCAGCCTTGGCTGCTGGATGTACCATGGTTGTCAAGCCTGCTGAACAAACACCTCTTTCAGCACTTTATTATGCTCATTTAGCTAAGCTGGTAGGCCTGCAATTTTTCTCTGTACTTTGGAAAGAATATCAGAATGTGCACAATTTGACTCGTATCATGCCTTTCGGGTTGCGGATCACTATTTTTAGATTTTTGTATGCTTTCCTTGCACCAGGCTGGTATCCCGGATGGAGTGCTTAATGTGATAACAGGACATGGATCTACAGCTGGTGCAGCCATTAGTTCTCACATGGACATTGATAAGGTAGTGTTCAATACATATAAATAGCAATAGGAAAAAATGCGAAAAAACAGGGAGAGACGACAATCTCATAAGATTGCTTGGAACTTGTGTTCTTATCAATCCATAATATGCCCTTTTTTGTTTCTTCAGGTTAGTTTTACGGGATCTACAGAAGTTGGGCGTCTCGTAATGCAGGCTGCAGCAGCAAGCAACTTGAAACCTGTCTCATTAGAACTGGGAGGAAAGTCCCCTTTTATAATTTTCGATGATGTGGATGTCGATAAAGTTTCTGATCTTGCTCTCCAGGGATCTTTTCACAACAAGGCAAAGTAACTTCGTTTCTTCCTTCCACACTCATCTTCTGACTAATGATATTAAGGTATTTTCTTTTTCTTTATCTTTCGTCCAGGGGGAAATATGTGTGGCTGGTTCTCGTGTTTTTGTTCAAGAAGGGATATACGATAAATTTCTCGTTAAATTGGCAGAGAAGGTGAAATCATGGGTTGTTGGGGATCCTTTTAATCCAAAAGTTCATCAAGGACCTCAAGTATGAATCTGGATTCAGCTTTTGTTTGTGGATAATAACAATATTTTGGAATTTATTGTATTATCTAATTGTAGTGGCTAGAAATCTGTTTGCTAAAAATCTGTTTTTCCTGTTATTGTTCTTTGATACTTCTTGTAATCAATACTTTATAATCACTTTACAGGTTGATAAGCAACAATATGACAAGATACTTTCATACATCGACCATGGGAAGAAGGGAGGCGCTACTTTGTTAAGTGGTGGCAAGCCGGGTGGAGAAAAGGGATATTATATTGAACCAACAATTTTCACTGATGTCACGGTATTTAATATCACAGTTTCTTGCACTTCGATTATGGAATGAAATTTCACTATCAAGTGCTTAAGTTTATAGTTTGCAGGATGATATGATCATCGCAAAGGAAGAAATATTTGGACCTGTTATGTCGGTTCTAAAATTCAAGTACGTACATCACTCGTTATTCTTGCATTTATAAAAGCCAGTAGAAAGTTCTTCTTTCTCTCTTTTAGCTGCGAGAATTTTGCTATTCTTATCGAGGATGTTTAGTTTAGCTTAAAGAGAAGCAAAATCTACTTTGAACGTGAATAAAAGTTAGGTCTTTTCTTATTAAATTTTGTTTCCAAGAATGTTGTGTATATATACACGCACACACTTTGGAGTAAAAAAAAAAAAATACTTATTTTAGCTTATTTCAGCTTATTTCTCGAGTTACTGTCAAAATAAGTAAATTACCTCATTCGTTGATTGCAACAAAATGAAGGACTGTTGACGAGGTGATCAAGAGAGCTAATGCCACTAAGTATGGACTAGCGGCTGGCATCATGACCAATGACTTGAACACGGCCAACACAGTATCGAGATCAATCCGTGCAGGTGTCATTTGGATCAACTGTTATTTTGCTTTCGACAGAGACCTCCCATATGGCGGTTATAAAATGAGCGGTTTTGAGAGGGACTTTGGATTGGAAGCGCTCTATAAGTATTTGCACGTTAAATCTGTAGCTACCCCAATCCACAATTCTCCGTGGCTGTAAATTTGTTTCGCTCTTCGACAGAAGCTTGAAGAGAAATTTCCACGATGTAGCTTGTGGTGATGCTTTTATTCCGTAACGCTGCGCAAAATAAACAGTAATCTTTTTCTTCATATGATCTTGACAATGTTGTTTGTAATTTATATAAAGTTTTTGGCATTTCAGATGTAATAATGATTTTCCATATTAGTGAATCTTGCCAATATTGTCCTTTGTTACCGAGTCGAATCCAAATATGGAGCATCTTTGACTAAATATTAGGAGTTACTTATTTTGTCACGAGAATACTTTCAGAATAATTTAAATTGTAGACTAACCCTTCTTACAAGTTGTCGACTGATAGACAACATGCTCATCTGGCTTAATTTAAGGGAAAATTGCAACGACGGTTCCTCATTTTTTCATTTTTTTCAAATTTTATCCTAACTTTTATTTTGTGCCAATGAAAGTCCCTAATCTTTCATAAATATGCACCTAAGGTCTATCTGGAAGGAAATTGTCCAAAACACCGTCATTTGATCGGAAAATTTCTTGAACTATCTGCTGCCGCGATGATTTTATTAGATGTTGATATTTTTTTGGACAGTTTTATTGGATTGATTCCTTGATTTTCCTGGTCAACTAATCGTGTTTTAGACTGTGTCCGTCCAGATGGACCTTAAATGCATTTTATGAAAGGTTAGGAACCTCCGCTGACACAAAATGAAGGTTATGGTAAAATCTATAAAAAAAGGAAAAGGTTACGGACTGCTGCAGCAATTTTCCCTTAATTTAATGTGCCATCTGTGTTTGATTATACGCTTGCTACGAAGTTGGTGAATTTCTTCCAGCGGTCATTTTCAATCTATTTTCTTGTGTATTTTAGTAGGCGTGTGGAAATTTGCCATTTTTGGTTGGACTCAGTTAGACAATTCACTCACACGAGTGGGCCCCACAATTATTTTAATCACGAGACCCACTCGTGTAATGTGAAAGGTCAAAGATGATATAAAAAATACTGTACTTGAAGCATGCTTCTTGGTTGGAGTATTTTTCGCCCACCTAAACCAATGTCTTGTCTTTTTATTTATTTTTGCTCTTTTCTTTTTTATTATTTTTCTTTCTTGTGTTTCTCTTTTGGCGTGTGAAATTTGCCTTGTGTTTGGTCATTTTGTTTATCCAATATCGGGTATATTAGTGACGAGTAGTCTTGTTAATTTCCAAATAACAAGATTCAATTTAGATCAAATCACTTTCTTAAATTATAATACAATTTTGTATCTTTTAAAGAAAAACTTCCCTTACTTTTCCTCGACTCTCATGACAGTGTCGTCTTGTTATTGAATTTGCATATTTGTTGACTGAGGTCGTAAAACGATAGAAACGATCATTACCATCTTTCTCTCAATTTGAAGGATCCAACTTTATGGACCTATTTTATTTATTTATTTATTTTAAGAATGTGTGATTGAAATTAGAAAAAAATTATTGGTCCACGTAAAAAAATTATTTTATTAAAAAAATATGTGGTTAAATATGAATTTGTGAAAAAAATAAATTTCTACAATATGATCCATTGATAAAGAATTTGAACAAAACTAGGACTATATATATACCATGGGTATATGCACGTGTTACATATTGTCCAACTAACAATGACAATGGTGAAAACCATTAATAATAATGCCTCACACCAATTAGTTTATCTTTACATTACTATTCTATTTGGCATATTCATATTAAGAGAAATGATCTAAATATTGATTCTTAGCTTTTGTCAAGTATCGATAATATGTCACATATGTTTAGGAGATTATTTCTCCTCGTATTAATGTACAAAAATTATTGAAATAAACTAGAGTACCTATAACATGTTTTACTTCGAAATGAGTGGTGAATAAGTAGATTCATCGAAATATGTTAATAAAAAGTAATTTGAATATTTATAAATAGTTTATAAACACGATTTATATGTAGGCTAAAAGCATGGAGTAAATTATTAAATTGTGAGTCATGTAATGTGTAAATAAAAAGTATATTTGACTAAAAAAATAAAAACAAATAAAAGTAGCTTTTTTGGGCCTTTTCTTTTTCCTTTCCACTTCTAGTGGGGCATTCGGTCTGTTGCCCGTTTGGGTATCTATTGGACATTAGTATATTGGGCCTCTGGGTTTTTTTTTTTTTTTTTTTTTTTCGCATTCTGGCGAGCAACTTGCCTTTGTTAGGATTTTAGTATCTTGGTTTCTCTTGAATTTCGGGATCCGAGATTCCTCGCCCTGTAGTCGAAGCAGCCTCAAAGGTTCGTCATGTTAGAGCACCTGTCTGAATGATCACGCTTAATATGTTCAATTAAATAAATCTTTTGATATCGCATTTAAGTGAATTGATCATTTATTGTTATACAGTTGTCACTTAAACTGATGTTTGAAACCAATAATTCTGAATAACGTCTCTCTTATGAAAATAAAGTAAGAGTTTCAATTGAAGTGAGCAAAGGGTAATGTTCACAACACTGCATTAAGAGTGATTGAAGGCCCTTCTAACAATTATATGCATTTAATACATATTGTGCTCAAAAACGCTGGCCTGATCAGAACTCAAGGAAGACACGAGCATGTTTGGCTTAGCTTAAATAGTTAGTCACTTATAATTAAATGAGTAATTTTCTTTATTGATCAGAATTGAAAATATTTACATATTTTGCAAATGAGCTAAATTATCCAAACATGTTTAGCAACAAAAAGTTAAATTTTACTTAAAAGACAAGCTTAGCAAAACATGCTATCTTTAGAACAATGCAAAGACTATCAACAGTAATTGCAGCAGCGCTGCCAATTAACATTATTCAAAGTCAGGAATTTCATGTTATGCTGATTCAAAAACCACCCGAAATTCTAAATAAATGGAATGCAGCCGATAGTTTCATTAAGAAAAAAAGTACTTAGCTTGCAATCTAGTACACATAATAGCTTGCAATCTAGTACACATAAACTATTCTCAATTGCATCCTGTGCTGCTAGTCGAGCTCGAGCTCTACAGAAGGCAAACCATTCCACATGAATTGCAGGGATTCCGTCGGCATCTTCCCAATATCCTGGAAACTAAGACAGAGAAAAAGAAATCAGGGTCCAATCAGATAAAAACCATCCATATAAAAGTTGGCCATAGTAAACTCTTTTGACATATTTGGTAAGGTGAACTCGACAAGACTTAATAGTATTTAAGAAGAATAGAAAACTAAAATCTTATTTATTACATCAACTAGTCATATCCAATACTTCGTACTAATAAGCATCTTTCTTATAACAGCAGCCAAATACACCGATTATTACTTCAACTATTCTTAAAATTCAGAATTGTCCCTTTCCCTATTTCAGTCGTGCTAATCCCATACATTAATTATTTCGGACTGACCAGAGCTACCCCATTCTAAGGTATCAAAAACCCATAGATTGGTAAATGGGCACCCGGTGCAAAATATTCAAACGCAACAAGAAATTACAACTTTCAATATTTAAAATTCGGAATAGTTAAATGACAGTCTCTTTATTGAGTAAGGCCCCGTTTGAGCCACATTAATATAAGAATGAAAATGAAAAATATAACCGTTATGGGCTCCACAGAAGAGATAGATTTTCAAATATGGTGGCTTGATGTTTATTTTTCATTTTAATGAGTGAATAATGAGAAACAAACAGGGGTTGATATTATTTGTACATCATTGTGTATATAGTACATAATGTTGTACTCTCTCTCTCTTCCATGTCATCTATCTACACATCATTATGTACACAATGATGTACAAATAGGATTACTCTTTATTTGATTTGCAAATAGTTAAAGAGCAAATATCCATTTACTCTATTTGCGCTCACCTAGTCAATAACCGGACTCATAAGACATCGAACCCTCTAACAATATTTGGGAAACACTACCTGGGCAAAGAGCATTGATTATATGATATTGCAATACCGTCACACAAATTAAACAGCAAAAGACATAATGCAATCAGTAGCATAGAAGCAATAGGATGCAATCAATAGAGAGAGAGAGAGAGAGAGCAATATAATTAACGCAAAATAATGGCAAACAAATAGTTGTTATGAGTAAAACCAATATGATACAGGAGTAAGTTTCCTACAATGTAGATTACATGAAGACTTCGACACTCTTCAGTGATTTTTTACTTGCACAGAGAACTCTATGCTACAATCACACTTGTGATTCACAAGATAGCTCAACTGCTCCTGATTACCATTTCCTGCCAAATTACTTAAGTAAAGAAAATTAAATAATGTTATAGCAATACTTAGAATTCCGTACAGTTTCCTTTACACATTTCCATTTAACCACAAAAATAACTCAGCAATTCCGCACGACTATAATATCAGCAAGCCAAGAAATAAAACCATTTCATTTTACCTAGTTCAATGTTAACCGAATCAGTCAACATTTACTTGTTTCAACGCAACAAGAAGATGTCAATTTTAACTATACTTTTCGTATCCATATGGTTCTTTCCTTAATACCTTCCGCCTTCTTATGGTGTTATTGATTTATCCTTTCTGATTGTTTAGATTTATTTTGATTTGTTTTATGGTCTTTTCTAGAGTCCATTTTGTTGGAAGCAACATTTCTTCTAAATTAACATTATTTACCAAAAATATTTATGATTCACTTCTCTACCTTTTACGATATGCATATTTTCTATAATACAACTTTACCAAATCAGCTCTCAAATTGAAAATACAGCTAAAAGAAAGAATTTTTTAGTTCTCACAATGTATGGCAGGTGCTTCCATGCAATATAAAGTATTTTCCGAAGCATGTTTTGTGAGCTTACTCATAATTAGAAGTGTATGTCAGTTAATACATGTCATTAATTCAACGTGGCTTTTGCAGTCTCATCATGCAAAAGGAAGACTTAAATAGATGAAATAAAATTCTAAATTTGGTAGCTTTGGCATGGCTTCTGCTCATCACTTAAAATTCTTCCAAGTATTTTTTGATCCCAATGACGTTTTCCTATATATATATATATATATTTTATCATCATCATATTGCAAGAAGGAACATATATAGCTTTAGTGACTAATAGTATTGTTAGAAATTATAGAAATGTCTGATCCATGTCTAGAACTCTCTCTCTTTTGCCTTTGACATATACGCAGGCTTCTTTGGATTAGGCCATTTTCAAGAATTATACGTACTGAATTTTCAGTCATGATGTTTTCCAATTCCTGATAAAAATATTATCAATCTTCAAGAAAAAAGTAATCTCATAATGGTTATATTTTATCTCACAAGGGATAGAAGCAAAGATGTAAAATCAACGACGCCAGACTCAGTGCTCTGTACTAGACCCTGAACTACAATACCAGTTAACTGTTAGCATTTCACAAGATGAAAATACTGACAAATTATGCTTTGTATTGATAGAGTTGTGAATCTAGGGATCTGTGTATCGACAGAGTGATGGATCTGGTAATCTGGTTGAACAGAGGAGCTTCGGATAAATAATGAATATAAAAACACCAATAAATCAACTCAAGTATTTTCTCCAAATTGGTCTATTGAGTCCTCCCAACCGGGACAGATATTCCGTCAATTCATCCTGATATATGGTAATAGCTGCTTGATACTATCTTATATTTTTTTAGGTTTGGGAGCTGCGAGTGGGGAAATAGGCTGCCTTGTTGTAGTTCCGATACTTGCAAGACCAACTGTTGGAGCAAGGGAAAAGTCTACCTCTTAAGAGGTTTAGAAGTATTTATTTTCAATTTCTGTTGTCATTTCTATATTATGTTCCCCTACATACCAGGAATTAGGTCTATGCTACAATCCAAATATTACAGGGCTTGGCAACCTAAACAAATACAACATTAATATTGTTTACGTACAACTATTACTACGTTACCACAGACCAAAAATAATTTTACTAAGTAGTTTCTCCACTAAAGTTTTTTTGTGTCACCACTTGTGTAGTGTGTTGCTTTAGATTTAAAATAGTATGTTTAAAATCATCAAATCATCAGCATCGTGAGCCATATAGATTTAAAATAGTATGTTTACAAAACACGGGAACCAATAGAATAAAATATAACAATAACACCTCTTGATGCACAGTTAACAAGAAAGCCAATAACTATGATTGATAAACTATTCGTCATTGATCATAATATATTGCTACAACATATTATGAAACAAAAGCAACCAAGAGAAGCACCCAAATTTACTACAAAACATTTCCATCCCCTTCAAGGAGGCATGCTTTCCTGTCTTAAAAGGACTCGTGCTATGGAAGAGTTAAAGTTACCTGTATCAACCCCTTAGATTGTCCGCAGAAACATCAGTATTATCATCCTCATCATCTTCGTCATCATTGTCATTGTCATCATCATCGTCGTCGTCATCATCATCCATTTCTCTTACTTTAGCAATTTCAGCCTGTGCATGCTCAACAATCTGCTTCTTCTGCAACTCCAACTCCCTCTGAAAATCTCGCCTCATCTTCTCCAACTCCATCATTTGCTTCCTCTTACTGTCCTCAATCTTCTCGTATATCTGTCCAAACCTCTGAATAGACTCTGCCAACAACTTAGCTGACTCTGCACCTTCCTCCTCGTCTCCCAATCCTTCCTCCTCGTCATCCTCCTCGTCTGACTGCTCTGGACTGTCCCTCATTTCATCCAACACATTAGACCTATCCAAGTACACCCGTGGATTCATAAAGACATACTCCCCTGAATCGATCCCACATCCCAATCCACAATGGCCTCTAGTCCTCATATTCAACAAAACATCCATTTTCTTGAAAAACACCCATTTGCTCGCTTGCCCACTTTCCAGTTTGACCCTCTCTTTCTTATACTTGTTCTTCAGCACATCCAACTGGCTCCTACACTCCATCTCTGTTCTTTCAACTCCACTCATCTCCAACACCTTCTCAGCAACCTCGACCCAATCCTCCGCCCTTAAACTTCTCCTTCCTAACTCCATATACCTTTCCCCCCAAACCTCCAACAACACAAAACTCTCCTCCTCGTTCCACATTCCCCTTTGAGGCATAAACTCGTAGTTCGAGACGAAAGACTCCAACTTTCTTTTCTTGGGGTGCCTCTTGGATTCCTCATGATTATACAATTGCCCATTTTCAGCAACATTTTGATATGTCATCTCTTCATCTTCGTCAAAAGCATTTTCTTCAAGTTCAATTTCGTTCTGGGTGCCGTACGAATGGGGAATAGAGTTTCTCATTAAAACCTTGATCTAGAAATTCAGTGGTGATTCCCTTGGTAGGATTTTTGCATATAAATACGTTAAAACGGATCCAATTACAGGAACTGCAAATAAAACGCTATTTCGGACCCGTAATTTGAGTTTTTATGTGAAAATTCTGGGTTTTTTCCTGAATTCTAGTGGAGAGGAAGGATTACTTTGCTAATTGAACTAGGATTTTACGATCTTCATCTGGAATTGTTTGCAAATTTAAACTGTGGATAAAAAAAGGTCGAAGATCGATACCATCCTAATTTTGTAATTTTAGGGGTTTGCAGTTGAAAGGGAATAAAATGGAGTTTTCGGGTGGATAAAGATCCAATTTTCTTTAATTTGTGAAGTCATCCAAGTTTGAGAGAAGTTTCATTTTTGCCACTGAATTTTATTTTTTCTTCCAAGTTCAATGTTATAGTTATTTTTATATCACACAAGTATACGATTCATAACAAGTAATAAAGTAGATCTAGAAGTCCGAATATCGTTCCCACAAAGACTACAATTTAATAATTAGTTCAATTATTCCTAATTTTAATTTGATCGAAAATAAATAATAAGCCCATGTTTGAACTCTATTCTTATAGAAAAATATATTCTTAAATAGTGCTTTGATATCATTTCAATCACACGTTTTTTAATAAAATAATATTACACGTAAATCTAAAAAAATTTCTTATTTTTTAACCACACATTTCTAATCAATACACTATTCAAAAATTCATTCTTATGAAAAAAGGGGCTCAAACAAGGGCTAAATTTTGTGATTGGTGTCTAAATTATTCTAACTAAATTAAATTATCTAACGTACACAACTTATCCAATTTGATTTTAAAAGTATGGATATAGATGCTAGGATTTACAATTTTACATATGGATACCTTTAATTCGCTAGTCAAGATTTAATATAATTGTAGTGTTCAGTCAAATTCTTTATTGAGCCTATTTAATTAATTTAATCTCATATCTCTATGCGAATCAATTTTAGTTAAACGATATCTTAGTTCTAAGAATTCATCTAACAACTGCAATAATTAGTATAGGTATATTTACACCTTATACTAAATTGTCAAATTTTGATATGTGGTCTAAATCTATAACTCACCTCTTGATTCGTAATAGATTCACAAAATAATTAAATAATTGGCCAAAGAATTCAACGCATTAAGTAAATAATTAAAATCAACACACATGCATTTAAAGAACTTGAATTTTGAATAAAAGGAATAAAGGATCATACATAAATTACATTGTTCGTCCTGATTAGAAATTTAGCTACTCATAATAATAAAAGAAAAATGAAAAGCATAGAATTCATAGTTGAGTTTTGAAATCTTGATCATGGAAATATTTGGATCTTGCACCAAGAATCTTCTTCAACCTTAAAAGTCATCAAAGCTCTTTGATCTTGATGATTATGTGTTTTTCCCTCCCCCAAATTGTGTGAAACTCCTTTTGCCTCGTTGAATTCTCCCCCAAAAGTAGTCTATAGAATGGTATTTATTCATTCTTTAAGTCATTAGAAGAGTTTGATTGAAATTTGACTTTTTAAAGATGAATCAAACTTGAAAAACTCTAACTGTATGCAGCGCGATGCCTAGGCATTGTGATTGAGGGCGCTGACCTTTCGAGAAAAGAACCAGCAATGTGGCATAGTATTCAGTCTTTTTATCATAATCTTTTCTCTTGATAAGTTGATTCAAAGTGTGTTGAAAAAGCTATCTCAAAGGGCAACAACTTTGCTTAGATATCGTTTTCCAATTCGAATGTTTACTATGTCAAAAATGGGTCTCAATATAAGACTAAAAATTCGGAATATAACTTTTTAAGTTGAAAATTCATGTGATTATACTTTGACTATATTTCATCCTTTTGACTTTTTTTTCTTTATCTAATTGACTCCTGACATTCTCAAATCTTCATTGTGAGGTTTGATACAACTTTTGAGTATTTTCACTTTAATCCCCAAACTTTGGATCTCTTACAATTTAACCCATTTTTGTCAATTTTTGCTTCTTTCTTTCAGTTCCACTTCCATTCATCGGGTTTCACCTAATAATCGAAATATAAAATAAATTAGGCTATAATTATTTAAAAGAACTATTAAATGTCTATATTCTTTTATCCAAATACATGTATAAAATACACCTATCATTTTATACTTTTTTTTAGTTCGGTTACTAGTAACGATTTTTGTGAATAAGTTTTTACATTTTCCCTTACGTGACAAATAGATTTTCATGCGTGGATCGTGTAGATATTGATGGAGCTCGTAAGCCGTGCTTGTACAAATTTATAAGTATCCTCCAATTTCGTCAAACATCTTGTTTCAATATCACAGTATTCGTGTTAGGAAATGTGAGTTTGTATCCTCGTCTAGTGCATCAAACTAATTTCAAGAAAAGTAACTTTAGTAATGACTTTAAAATTAAAAAAAAAAAAAAAAAGTTGTTAATGTATCGCCAAAATTAAGAACAAGCAAGAGAGAATTTAGAAATAATGAACATGGAGGTACTGCTACCATTACAATTTGAAATTTCTTACAAATTTAAGTGACAATTGGTGAAACTAATTCTTTTAAATGTCATTGTTGATGCACAAATAATTGTTAACAGAGATACAAAACTGCATGTGCTACACAGAATAAAAGGTCGAGAATTTTCGATTTACAAGTTGAGAAATAACTCTATTTATTTATTATTATTATTATTATTTTAATGATTGAGGAACCCTCAGCCGTTACCATTCGAGTGCGCACTGGGGTCTCTAATCTATTTTTCATCCATATTGTTTTTTTGACGGGTGAGAGAATGTAAAGAAAGGAACAATAATAATATTAAAAAATTGCATATTCAAGCACTTAAAATTATCACATTGATTCCTTCATATTAAGATGATAGTGAAATGAGTACAATACGAGTTGTCGAATAATTTTTGGTGTATTACGAAGATCATGATTGTACAAAATTGTATAACATCTCAACTCCAAAAATCTCCGTCGATAATTTGATTTCTCCCATTTTCTAATCTCTAAATGGCTCTAATTGTTGTCGTATTAAGGGTACAAAAAGACGGATTAAGTTTTGAGTTGAGATCTAATGTCCCATTAACTATTAGCTATGTCATAATTTAATTGCAACGCAGCAACTAATGCTCCTAATATTTTCCCATTTTTTTAATTCATGCCACAACTTATTTTCATTACAATTTTTTTTTTTTATACCCAAGCTTATATTAATTTGAACATTATTTTTAATGATGATTTCCATCCAAAAATTCGTCAAAACTTATTTTTCTCTCGTATTTTAAATAAGCTAAATAACTTCAATGCACATTAGCAGACTATGCACAAAAATCATAATTAGCAGACTATTTCAAGCTTTTAATTAGTTTGAAAAATAAACTTAGTTTTACTAAATTATGTATTATTTATTTTATTTAATTTTGTACATGCGACCATGTAAATTATGTGCTATTTATTTTATTTAATTTTGGACAAGCGACCGTGATTCTTCAATGTACAAGCCAGTTTTCAAAATATTATTACCAAAAGAACACAAGTAAAAATCAGAAACCACCAGCATAAAGTAACACAACCAGCAAAATGGATGAACCATGAACCCATCAAACTCACCTCCATCACACGTATATGCATAGCAAAATAACTTTTACAAAATTTGACGTCTACTATACACCCACAAAAGCTGTACAATATCCTATACACAAGTTAAGATGAAGAAGAAGAAAAATGTGGCCCTGAAGGCATATCATGAAGTGAAACTTTCCTTGGAGCAGAACACTCTCTTAAATTAATCTGGTTCAAAAGAACAAACTTTATTGAGTAAGGCGCATACATCATCTCTGATCCAGCTTTTCATTTGAATCTGATGTGACTGGGGAAGGAGGTATTGACTGACTAGGTTGTGGGGGTGGAGCCGTCAGCGAATAAGTCATCCTGGACGAGGAACTTTCAATTAGACCAGCAACGCCAGCCGCTGAAGTTTGAGCATTTGAAGGAAGAAAAAGATCGTGTTTCTGATCTTTATAAGCACTCCAAACCTGTAAATAACGATTTATCATGTAAATAATTGACAACAAAAACTATACATCTTTACCACTAAATTGAATCAGAGGAGAGTTTAACAAATACTTGCGGTAGGTACTAGGAAATGATGAGAATTTTGAATAATCAAAATCACATTCAACATGGGAAGCAGAATCCAAATTTCAGGTTAAGGAAGCCACAAGGAAACACAGATGAGAAAAGCAATTGGCCAGAGTGCCTAGGTAATGTGGGTATTTTATAGTGGAAGAGATTAACCAATAAAACATTAAAACAGAAAGGGGTCTGACAAATAAAGAAATATTGTTATGGTGCCTAGTTTTAAGAAACATAGGCAAACATGCGAGAGTGATTGCTCATACTAACACCTCTCAATAAAATTGAACTCCAGCAACATCGCTCAAAGAGTATACACTTCATATCCCCATTCTGTCACGATACAACTCGTTTATATGACAAAAAGTAGGAGGGCGTGAATTCTCTTTTACTTGATATGTCTCCCTAACGCCAACTGAATATCTTCATTCAATTCTGTTATTATTCACTCGACATTTTCACATCCAAGCTAAAGGACAATATGTACAATCAAATCCCTGTGCTCTCCTCGTCAAATTTATCAAGATAAAAAATAAAAAATAAAAAAGGGTGTCATAATAATTTTTTGTATTGAAACGTCAATCAGGACAAAGTTTGACATAGTGGTTGTAACATAAGCACACAGAGAAGAGGAGTAATACTTACATCAGAGGAATTTAGTATGTCACGCACTTTGGTACAGTGGGCCCCTTCTGTTGCAAATGCATGTAGAACCTAGATCAACAAAAAATTTTATATGAGTTATGTCCATAAAACTCAAAAGAAAATGTTCCATGAATGTGAAAGAATTGTGTAATTTGGAACTTCTTGAGCAGCATAAATAATAATTGTTTTTTCGTTTCTTTCTATGCAGTACAAGCATATAAGTAGAACTTCAAATCTATTTACTATTCTATGTTCATTGATTCACAAAGAAGAAAACAATAAATTCTCAAAGAGTACAGACACATTTACAAAAAAGAATCTCTAATAACTTAAGCTTTTAGATCAAGTAGTTCAATATAGTATCAGAATAGGCATACTGGAAAAAGTCCAGGGTTAAACTCTCATTCCCATGCATTTAATGAAATTTTGCACAATACGTGGTTGATGAGGATAAACAAATCTCACCTAAGCCTGAGGTGTGTGTGGACGACAAAAAATAAATTATAGTCCCTTTTAAAGGTTTAAGCTTATAGATCAAATGTTTCATCGCATGAGAATACAGAGGTCTCTTTCCAAATCAAATATCTTCAACATGAATGTGATCCATGAAGCCTCAGTTTAATATCACTCAAGTGAGCAAAGATATAACCAAGAATAAGATACATATTGCCCCTTTACTTCATAAAACACCAATGCTCCAAAGATTATAAAACTTAAATCTGTGATGTACAATTCACCCTCCTAGGATGAACTATCCATGTCTGACACGCATTGAACATGAACTACTCAGATATTCCAGGGCGCACAACTATTTTTATCTCATTTGCACTAATATGGAAGGTACAGCCTAAAATTAATTCAACATATAGTAATTCCTGGCACTACTTCAAAAGATTTTCATCTGTAAAATTCAAAATTATAGCTGAAAAAGATTCGCCCGTTTGACAAACATTAAAACACTATTAAAATAGAACTCTTTTTTTCTCGGTTCATTTTCAAACATACATCCTCACAATAAATATTTTGCATGTAAACCAAAAAAATTTTCATACTTTTTAACCACAAGCTCTTCAAAATAATAATAATAATAATAATAATAATAATAATAATAATAATAAAATAAATAAAAAA